AACCAGTAGACTTATCATTTGTTAAAATAGATAAATAAAGTTGCTTTTTCAGTTCCTGGGGGATCTAAGCAGGAGATGGATCATGAAGGTAGGGAAAAAGTCAGGAGGGCTTGGTGGAGGGGGTTTTGAATGAGCAGCAAAATGTTCAAAGCAGCAAAATCCCAGCAGGTGCTTTCCTTTCCCTGATTACTGGTGTGTTGTTAGCATAGTTTCTCTGGAGATGACTGGGCATTAAGAGACCTCCTATGTGCAGGTATCTAGAGGTTATGACCAAAGCTGGCCACATGCATTAAACCCACACAAAGAAGTTTAGCTCTAAACTATCTGCAGAGGAGGTCTTATCAGTAATTGACCCTTCTGTGTTCACCTTCATGAATTTTGCAGTGATTTTCACATTGTAAAATTATACCTGCAAGAGAGGGCTATCGCTCAGAGGGGCACTTACATCACCATATCTGGGTTGATATAAGGCATAGACTAAAGTCAGCAATAACTCTGTGAACGGGTTGTCTATCTCCCTCACCCCACCCCTCAAACTTGAACCTTTGTCATCTCTGTGCTGACCTGGGTTTTGGATGTACAGTAAAACCCCCATTGGCTGTGGATTTGGTCTGTGTCTACCTCAGGACATTGGGAGTGTTTTCACTCTCCTCTGAGGCAATTCTAATCATTTGGCTTCACAGTTCGTCATCTCCTTACCCAGGTGAATCTTCTGAACTGGGAGCATTTCTCCTCTTGTCTCTTTACATAAAGCCTAATGGATGTGCAGTCTTTCAGCATTTCTTCTTCCTATGTCTGAAAAGTTGTGATAACAAATATGACGTAGGGCTACAAGCTTTTGTGAAGTTAATTATTTCAAATGAGGAAAGAAGATCAAACACCTAAGAAGAAAATGGCTTAGAAATTGGAAAGAAGGTATTCCGCTCTGCTACAGTTGGTTGATATTTGGCTCTTTTATTTTTCTCCTGAGCAATGTAAGAGCCATTGAGCTCAGAGGACGGGAACATCCTGTACAGAAAATAGATGGTGTGTGGAGGAGGAGAGGGGGCACCCGGCAGTCATTCTTTGAATCCTTCAGTGAGCTTCACTTGAATATGTTAGAGCAGCGAGGAAAGGGCTAGAAAACAGAGCTCTGCTTGGATGGCTTCCAACTCCCTTTACAAAGCTCAGGAAAAGCTCAGCTAAGCCACATGCATTTTATGTTTTCCTGAGGAAAGACTCTGCTTGTTGGTCTCGGGGTTAAGGAGTCTCAGCAAGTTTTTATAGAGACACTAAAACATTCTCTTCATATTTTCCTCTGGCACTGAAAGGAGCCCAGGGGAGAGAATCACATTTAAGTGCCAGCTAGGCCGATGAGCTGTGTGAGAGGTTAGGTGAGGGGCAACCTCATGGTGTGTGCGCCCTTAGCTGCCATATCACAAAGTGTGTGTGTGTGTGAGAGAGAGAGTCATAAGCACAGAATCTTCGCTGAAACTGGAAGAAATTAAACTCTCAAGTGCGGCTTATGTGTGTTTCACAATTTCTGACTTTTGATGAGATAGTGCAAAAATGACCACCATCTTCATCCTTATCAGATAATGGCGCAACCTGTTCATGTGTGACAGTGCAGGAGGAAGGATACAGATGGACAGACGTGAGGGACATGTCACAAGAGTCTCAAGACTGTCCAGAGCTGGAGCTTTCTTCTTTGTCCCCAAACATTTTCTTTTTAAAAGAAAGCAGCAGAATTTTCAGTTCTTTGTGCCAGTGATTTGGAATGTTCGCTGGAGCAAGAAGACCATTTACGAACCGACTTCAGGCTCTCTTGGCCTGTCATACCCCATTGTGTTTATTTCAAAACCTGAGATTTTTACCTAGAGAATGTTGCCAGAGAAGAAAACCTGTCACTGTTGCAATTGGCATTTGTGGGTGCAGTTTTCCTTTATCTGCTGAACTTAGCTGTTTCTTTTACTAGAAAATTCTCATCTTTACCTTGCTCATTTACAGAGACTACTGCATAGGAGGCATAGTACTATCTTTTTTATTTTATTTATTTATTTATTTTTGTAGTGCTGGGGATTGAACCCAGGGCCCTGTGCATGCGAGGCAAGCACTCTACCAACTGTGCTATGTCCCCAGCCCTCAGCCCTGGCATAGTACTATCTTGAAGACATTGTATCTTGTTCACATCCTTGTAATTTTCTCATTCGTAATTAATATTTCTTATGTAGTCATTTTCCTTAAATTTTTGCCATATAAAGTATATATAATTATGCTAAATTGGGATACCAAAATATTGCTTATATCAGAAGTATCTAACATTGTTTATAGGTTTAGAATATCAGTGCATTTCTTTGTTCCAGGTTTTTACCCCTATTCTAGTGGGACTGCAAATCAGAATTAGTCTCATGGTCTTTCTCTCTGGTTATCCAATGACAATTTGTGATGAAGAGTCAACTGGCTAAAGAATCATGATTATGGATTTAAGAGTGAGGGAAGTAATATCCTAATGCTACTAAGGAAGTCTGCAAAGTTTCCTCTTTTAAAGACAATCAAGAAAAACCAATGGCTCTGTTTATTTTGAATTGTCAGTTAATATTTTTCAAGGGGAAAAAAGTGGACCCTAAGTTAATTTTTAATTTTCAAACTAGAAGGGGTATATCCCGTTCATGACCAAGTTACTGCCCTCCAGACACAGGAAAATACGCTAGGTGCTTAAACAAAGGATCATGCTGTTTGGGGACTATGCAAGTGTCCAAAATAGTGGCAATCATTTCCTTGAATGGAATGAGTGACCAAGTACTTCTCCCTCAGCCTGATAAAGCAGCGCCACCTACTGCCCAAAAGCCTGACTTTATGCTGAAGCCGTTGAGCAGAAACTGATCTCTACACACACACACACACACACAGACAGACAGACACACACACACAAATTGGTTCACAGGCTCTTATCAGTTAACATCTAATCTGGGTCAGTTGAAGTTTTTTCCCTACCATTTCTGTGTGTGTGTGTGTGTTTCAGTGTCCTCATTTGTATTAGAGGCAACATTAGAGAGAGTGAGAGACAGAAAGAGATACAATGCAAACAGGAGAAACGTAAAAATGCAGGCCTTTCCTCATTGGTGTCTACCGCTGTCTTTTCTTCTGGAAATAATGATGCAACTCTATGTTCCATTTTACACATAACAGTGATGTAAGAATTAATAGTCAATGCTTGTCTGAATTGAACCATTATTCATATTTCATCCTAGGTGTGTGTTCTTTATTAAATGGTTACAGATTTAATAGATATTTGTGAATTCCCCTTTCTCCATTATTGTCATTCCTAGAATTATATGAAAGCTACAATGTTTTAGCAATAATAACCCCTAGCATTCCTAATGTTCTTTATATTATGACATCACACAGGCATTTGCATAAAGCATTAATAAGAGCATATCTTTTTATTATGTTAGAGTCATTAATTATTCTTTCAACTACTTAGGTTTATTTCATCTAGTCTATTACACCACAACATAAAATAAGTAAGTGGCAGGAGACGTGGTACAACAACGATCGTGGTTCTTTTCATCATTCCCTGTAACTATTTCAAGGTCTAACTGGTTATCGACCACTCACATCATTCATGATGATGCTTCTCCTTTTGTGCTGTGAAGATCATATCATCTCAAACCTGCTCCATAATTAATTTTGCAGCTTGTACTCCTTCATATTAAATTGTATTTGTCACCCTGGTGTTAATTTATTTGTACGTTAATGGGATGTCATACAGCCCAAAATTTATATTTGACAGTTGTCAGGGCTTTGCTCTCCAAACAAACTGAAATAGAATATCACTTGGCTTTGGTATATGATGTAAAGACGTGATTGTATAAATGATATATGTTAGAAATAGAGACATACAAATAGCACAGATGGCTTCAGTTTTAATCCATATTTGAAGAAAAGCTGCGTGAATCCCTAATATCGTCAAAACTTGACTTTCTCAATCTCCTGTACATGTTAAGAAGCTTTTATTATATTTAGTGTAACTTTACTCATTCAACTCAAACTCAAGCATCTGGTCCATGCTAGGCACTGTGCTGGGTTCTCAGGATTCAGTGATTAAAAAGTAAATTCCTTCCCCTCTGTGAACTCACTTTTTTGTAGAGGAAAACAATATGCAAGTGGTCCCAGCAGGGAGGGCCAGGAGCTGTGGGCACAGGAGGAAGTGAATGCCACCAGACTTCAAGGGCATGGGCCCGGGAGGAGGGGGAACCCAAGAGACTTCTAGAGGAGGGAGAGCCTAGGTGACATTTTCAGGGGTGAAAAAGAACTTACCAGGCCAGAAAGTGTTCTAGGAGGGGAGATAGGGTTTGCAAAATCACAGGTGTGAGAGCTACACAGTTTAAGGAGAATGTGTTTTTCACTTAACTTGGGCTCAAGACTGCACATGAAGCTCTGAGAGATGGGATTGGACAGGCAGAAGAGACAATAGAGGATCCGTCATGAGTCTGGACTTTTTTCTGAATGTTTTAATGATTTTTTTTTTTTTTTAAGTAAGGAGGCAAGAGTGAGTGATTGGCTTCAAACTGATCAGAAAGCTCCTAGCAACACTATAGAGAGCGGATTTGAGCAGACTATGGCTGGAGGAAGGGGGATCAGTTAAGAAATAAGCAGGGAAAGGGAAGAAATTACACATTACAGAGCTAATTGAATGACCACCTATGGAAGAAGTCTAGTAAAATTTCTGTTTCTAGCATACGAACAGTCCCATGGCATCTTCCACTAAGATACTGGCAGTGCCCAAGTTAGAGATGAGCATTCAGCAAAGGAGGCATGTGAGTGTGTGCAATACCTCCAATGAGAGAGATCCACAGGGTCGCTGGCTATAGACTTTTGGAGTTCAGGGGAGTCACTAGAATTGATCTTTATTCTTTATGAACCCTTTATAGTATGTTTAATTGTGCTGAAAGAAATCATGAATAGGTTCTATGCACCGAGACCTCCCTTCATGAATCCCACGGTTCTTACTCCCCCAGAGGACTGGTATGAGCAGTTGAGCCCCCTCGTCCTGACCCTGAAGGACTGCATGGGAGAAGTGGTGAGCAGAGCCAAGCAGTCGCTGACCTTCGTGCTGCTCCAGGAGCTCGCCTGCAGCTTGCCCCAGTGCCTGACGCTCACTCTACGCAGAGACATCGTCTTCAGCCAAGCAGTAGGTGCCCGTGGTTGTTCCCACAGAGCCGGGCTGCATGTGCACATCCTCTCTTTGATGAGGGTAGAATTCTTCCTTTGGCAGCTTTATTTTTAAAGATCCTTTTCTTAAGGTGTGGACACCAATATTTTTTTCTTGTGATAGCTATGAGCAGAAAACCATGCAGACGCAGCTTATGAAACCACCTTCAGTATTTCTTTGTGAAACACTGAGATGGCCAAGTCTCTGTCCATTCCATTGACCAGGGCACAGAGACTGAAGAAAGAGTGATCCATCTTTGTATTATGCTCTGGGGTCTGCTAACATGTCAGGGAAGGGACCTCTGCCTCGTCCTGCAGGTGACAAGCTAGGACTGGGCAAAGGGATCTCTTTACTCAGTTTCCCTATCACTCCCAAGACAGGATTTCACTGTAATCCTTATTTTGTTTATAAAATAAATTTTCAGGGCAGTAAGGCTTGAACCAGGAGCTTACCAGGACTAGCTCTTTTTCTGATAGGACCCCACTACTCCACCTCATGCTGGTGCCATCCTTTTTCCCACCTACCTCCACCCCCAGGGTTGAGTCTTATAAACAGAAAACATGCAGGGAAGGAGACAAAAGGCCTCCTTTTAAGCATTCCATTCAATGGGAGAATTTTAACCAAACAGTCTCTGTCCACCATTAAGCTATCTCGTGGCTGGTGCACAGCCAATGGCGCTAACCACATGTCAGGAATTATGCCCTACTCCCTATATAGTTCTTTGTTGTGTCCTTTCGATGACTCTGTGAAATAATTGCCTCTATTCTGCATGTACAAATAATAATTAATTCAGTTTGGAAGTGCTAAGTAACTTTTTGTGGTTTTCTTGGTAGAAATCATATACATACATTTGATGACAAACCCAAACTCCAAAAGCCATGTATTTACCCTTTTATAATACTATCTTCCCCAAGACTTTCATACAGAGCCTTGATGGATCAAAGACTGCCAACTTATTTTATTATGTATATATGTATGAAGACTAGTAACTTTGTTAGAATTTTTAATTAAATCTGTGATGTCTTAAAAGTCTAAACTATTCTAAAATTGAACTAATAAGATTGCTGACCCCAGTAAATTTCTTCAATTTTTTTTTTTTTTTTTAGCTTGCTGGATTGGTTTGTGGTTTTATCATCAAATTACACACGAGTTTGCACGACCCCAACTTCTTGCAGCAGCTTCATACAGTGGGGTTGATAGTACAATATGAAGGACTGCTGAGCACATACAGTGAGTACTGTTTAGTACATGTTACCATCACATCCCTATCCATGATATTTAGCACATCAACTTTTCAGGGAAGTATAAAAACAATATTGTGCCAAGTATTACAGAAATAATGTAATTTCTGGTTTTTACATTCTTTCACCTTGTAACTTACTTTGACATCCCATTATGTTTTGAAAATAGAATTATAGATTACTTCAAAGTAGACTCCTGAGAAGCCTTCTGGCTTTTTTTTTTAATATAAAAGGCTCCTTGCCAACATACTTTCAATCAGTGGATTTGAAAATCCTAACGCTGAAATATCTAGAACTACACTATTCATTACTGGAGTCTCCAATGGATATGGAGCCCTTGAAATAGGCCTACTCCAAATCAATATATTCTAGATGTGCATCTCGATTTCAAAGAGTAGTTTTTAAAAAAAGGAAATTTTACATAGTTATTAAAAATTCTACATTGATTTTTCAGTTAAAATGGTCTTTTGGATATATTGGGTTCAATAACATATTATTAAAATTACTGTTACTTTTTTATCTTATTTATAAATATGACTGACAGCAAATGTATGATAATATACATAGTGCATATTCTGTTTCTATTGGATAGAGATGATCCAGAATCCTACTTAACTATCTCTTTCTCAGGCTTTCTTAGTTTGAGTATGTAGATACAAACCTACCAGGGGCCTTGGGCAGTGGTGGTCAATTCAGTCATCTCTGTGTATAGAAATCAGATATCAGTCCTGTCGATAAAAAGATGTCCAAATGATAGTTTGTTTTATAAAGGTTTGAAAATCTCTCTGTAGCCTCTGAGCAAAAGTGTGCATTCTTCTTCCCTCTAGGGGTACATGGACTTCCAGAAAGTCCATTGAAAAGGTTCTTATTTCTCTGATGAAAACCTTCAGCCGTTGAGGAACAGTATGTGGAATAAATATGCCACCTTCAAAAACCCTTTCACTAAAATATTAGAACAAATTCCAGCAAGAAGGGGTAGTAGCTCGTGACCTTTTCTTTATAAGGATGTTTGTAAAGAGGCACCTTTTTCTTTGTTTAGGTGATGAAATTGGAATGCTAGAGGACATGGCTGTTGGCATTTCCGACTTGAAGAAAGTAGCATTTAAAATAATAGAAGCCAAATCCAATGATGTCTTGCCAGTTATAACAGGAAGACGGTGAGTGTGACCGTTTCTTACAGACTGTGCTTTGTTTGGGATGTTGTATTTATTCCTGGAAAAGGAGCCTTGGAGAATTCAGATTTGGCTTGAGTTGTTTTCTTTTGTTCTCTTTTCCTTTTTGGTGAAAAGTAAATACATGTGATGTGACAGGGCAAGATCTTGAAAATCTTCTAGAGCCTTAAATGTTTGTAAATTGTAGTCAGGTGAGTCTGGTAATGCTTCTCCATGAAATATGAGAAATTTAAAATAATAGCGTGCATGAGAAGAACATTTTCTCTTTATAGCTATCTAGTCTAAAGCTCTGGATGTTTTTACTTTTGCGGGAATCGTTCAGTTAATAGCTCCATAATTCTTGAGATGACTTTAAATTAAATTCAGTTAAAAGCAGCAACATTTTTAGGAAAGATATATTCCTATGTCAGGGGCATATACCACCATTTTTCTTAATTATTTTTGACAATTCATTCTCAGACTGTGAAATTTCCGAGAAGTGTTTTAAATATATAGCTTTGAAGGTCAGTATATGATGGGCAAAATATCAGAAATAATTAAGAAAAATGAAAGTGTGTAAAATAGTCTTCTAGTAGGAGACTTCTATCCCATAGTAAGTTGTTGCAATCAGAATTCCTTCAACCTTCAACTATTCTACTGTTAGCAGTTTTAAGTGGTGCATGAGTTTATTTAAAGATTGAAATATTCTTTGGTCATAATGAAAACGTGAATGTACAAAAGGAAGAAAACTTCTCATGCTAGAGAAAAATGAAGAGGAGGCAACGTCTAAAATTAATGCAAAATACACTTGTCTTCCTGTCTATGGTAAACATGTGATATTTAAAGTTTATTTGAAGGGTGCCGAGAGTCACACAGTTGGAAGATAGGTGACTATTTCTTACACATAGAGGAAAATAAAAAAGCCAATCCTCAGCTTCATAAAATTAAAAATCTCATTTGGAGATTAATGCTTCATTTGCTATTCATTGGAAGAAAAAGGAATAAAATTGCCCATATACACACTTGGAAATAGTACAGCTCTGTGTATTACCGTGAAGTTTACTGTCAAAAGTGAGAAGGTGATACTTTTCTCACAATTTATAAGGGACACTTACCAGGGCATTTGCAGATGAAGTGCAGAGGGCTTTTTCTGAGGACACTCCTCAAGCAGTATCTAAGTTCTCAAGTTGTCACAGAGATGGGAGCAGCCCCCCCACCCCCGAATGACAGCGTGGGTAGCTTGGCAAATCCTGCAATTGGGAGGAGTCATCTCAAACCATCATGTTAGGAATAAAGGACTCCATCAAAGGCATACAACAATTTTAGAAGCAGTTATTCGTGAAAAGGTAGGATATATTGGACAGAAGCAGTGGGGATCTGTGGTGCTTTTCCTGAGGGCTGCTCCCACCAGGCAGAACTGCCCTCTCTCAGTTTCACCAGGACAAAGCCCATTCACTAACCCTTTGCAGCTTCACTGTCCTGGAGAATGACTTCATTTGCACTGGAGAACAGGAAAAAGCACAGTCTTGAAAATTGTTAGAAACAACAGTGATTTAGACAGTTCCATTCACAATAGAATCATAAAGAATAAATAGGAATAAATTAAACAGGTTTGTCTAGGAAGTGTTTACCAAGCACACAAAATAATTACTGAGAGAAATTAATATGATACAGTTATAATGGAGAGACAGTCTGTGCTCAGTGTTTGGAAGACTCAATATTGTTTAGATGGCATTTGTTTCCACAAATGGATCTATATAGATTTAGTATAATTTCTGGCTAAATCTCAGGAGTCATTTTTGCAGAAATTGGCAGAATAACGTAAAATTTTATGTAAATGAAAAGGACCCAGAATACTCCCCAAAATTTGTACGGAGGATTTATATTTTTTGGTTTCAAAATTTGCAATAACAGTATAATAATCGAGACAGTATAATACTGGTCTCAGTATCCGTATACATAGGTCATCAGAACAGAATTTGGAGTTCAGAAATAAACTCTCATATTTAGAGTCAATTGATTTTCAAGAAATATAACTTAATGGTGAGTGTAGAATCTTTTCAAAAACGATGCTGTAGCAATTGGTTATCTATATGCAAATACAAGAATTTGAACCCACATACAAAAATTAACCCATGTAGATCTAAAAATATAAGCTAAAACCATGAAACTTCTAGGAGAAAATATTTATAAGTTGGCTTACTAATGAGTTCTTTAGACACAAAAATCAAGGTGCATCAAAGAAAAAACAAATAATAGGACTTTATGAAAATAGTAAACTTTGAAGCATCAAAGATATCATTAAGTGAATGAAAATACAAGTCACCGACTGAAAAACATGAAAATCATATATTTGAAAAGAACTTGTAAAAAAAAAAAAAAAGAACTTGTTCCCAAAATATTTAGAGATAGCTTGTATCTCAATAAAAATGAAAAAAAAAGAAACCCTAATTTAAAAATGGGCAAAAATTTGAATAGATATTTCATCAAATACATTTTATGAATGGTTTGTAGCACATGAAAACATACTTAACATCATTAATCATTAGGAGAATGAAATTAAAACCACAGTTATTTACCAGTTTACTCACACTAGAATCATCATAATCAAAAAGTTAGATAATAACAGATGTTGATAAAGACATGTAAAACCTAGAATGTTCATACATTATTGGTGAAAATGTAAAACGGTACACCACTTTGGAAATAAGCAGTTTCTCACAGAGTTAAGTATGAACTCGTAGGTGTATATACCCATAAGAAGACAAAGTTTTTGTTCAAACAAAAAAATTTGACTGGAATGTTCACAGCAGCATCATTCCTAATAGCCCAAATCATGAAAATATCCCAAATTTCCATCAAATAATGACAACATCGGCACATTGTGTTATAGTGTATCTATAAAGTAGAATGCTATTTAGTAATTGGAAACAAACTGCTGGTATACACTATGATGTGGGTAACATCAAAAACATTATGCTAAGTGAAAAAGCCAGATGGAAAAGTCTACCCATTGTATGAAACCATTCATAGGAAATATGTAGAAAAATAAACCCTGTAGAGACTTCCTGAGGCTGGCAGTCAGAGGGGATTGACAGGCATGAAAGATCCATTTAAGGTGATGGAAATGTTCTAAAACTGGATTATGGTTATGGTTGTACAACTCAGTAAACCTGTTAAAGCTCTGGATTATGTCATTAAATGTATGCATTTATGTCAATTGTATCTTAAGCTAATACAAAGTTATCACAGAAAAATTACATAAAGCGTGTCACCTTCAGAGTAACTTACACATGTGTACTGTCTCTTTGATGCTTAAATATTCTTGAAAGACTTGAAATAAACCCCATCCCTCTGTTAGCTGTGCTATTCTAAGGAGGGCTGGAAACAATTAAGCAAAGAGCAATAATGTGTCCATCCATCTGAAGGTAATGTTAACATCCATATTTGCTTGATTGATGGTGATTCCCAATTCTCTTTCATAGCTAGAAAGTCTACATTTCCATTCACAATTCACGCTATATCAGAAGACAACAAACTTCAAAGTATGCGAGGAACTACTCTTGCTGAGCATATTTTATGAATAATGATTTAAACTTTCAACTTTAAACATTAAAGGTTATTTTTAAAAAACGTTTTATTGATGTACTATAGTTGTAAGTAATATTGGGATTCATTGTTACATATTTGTACCTGCACACAATATAACAATATAATTTGGCCAGTATCATTCCCCTGAATTTCCCCTTTTCTTCCTCTCCTCTTCTCCCTCATCCTGGTCCCTTTCCTCTGTTCTACTGATCTCCCTTCAATTTTCATGTAAATTCCCCTCCCATCTTTCTTTGTCTTCATTCTCTCTAAGCTCCACATATGATAGAAAACATGCAATCCTTGACTTGCAGAGTTTGTCTTATTTCACCTAATATAATGTCCTCAAGTTTTATCCATTTTCCTGAAAATGACATAATTTCAATCTTTTTCAATCTTTTTATGGCTGAATAAAACTTCATTGTATACATATACCACATTTTTTTTATCCATTTGTCCACTGACTGACACCTAGGATAGTTTCATAGTTTAACTATTAAGAATTGTGTTGCAATATCAAGGATATGCATGTATCATTATAGTATGATGACTTTAATTCTTCAGGATAAATATTAAGGAGTGGTATAGCTAAGTTATGTGATAGTTCTATTCCTAGTGTTTTGAGGACCCTCCATACTGATTTCCATAATGATAATGTTTAATAAAGATTTCCAATGAAAATATGCTTGTGGTATGTGAATGTTGCAAAATGATCAAGACTTTCAAAGGTTACACCTTAAATAATTGAACCATTTCATTTCCAATAGGCTATCACGAACAGGGTTTATCAATAATAATCATGATTGAGCTGTGCCAAAAATTTTTTTTATAAATGATTTGGTTCATCAGACTTCACTATACTGAAAATATCCAATATCCATCATTCAATTACTTTCTTTATTTTGGGAACTGATGAGATTTTAAAAATAACTCAAGAAAACAAATACCATGGCCATATCTAAGCACATGGCCCTGGGTGTTAAAAAATGAACTAAATATTCTTCCTTTCCTGATTGAGCTCAGAGTAATGTAGAGAAATCAAACATGGAAACAAATATTTGCGATTCTCTGTGCCAAGCAATTTGGTGAGGATATGAAGGAATGCTTCTTGAATGAATGAAAATAGAAAATAAGCAGACAAAACCCTAAATCCGGGCTACATTCCAATGAATCTATAATGATCTGAAACACGAAATAAGCCATGCTTCCTCCCTGTCCTTCCCTTCTGCAGTGAACACTATGTGGTAGAGGTCAAGCTTCCAACTGCAATGTTTGAGTTGCTACCTGCACAGATTAAAGAAGGACAGTTACTCCGTGTGCATCCAGTACTTTTTAATGTTGGGATCAATGAACAACAAACTCTTGCTGAGAGGTAAGCTTCAGGTACAAGGTTGATTTCAGTTGTTCTTTTTTCCTTTTTAGGCTATGTGGGGAAATCCCACATGATTCTGCATATAGGATTTAGATATATTTATTGGTACCATTCTGCATTTTATTGATTCCAAGTTAATCGATATACCAAGGTAAAATATTCATATTCAAGGAAATATGGCCCAAATTTAAATTTAAATTTTAAAAATTGGGGTACACGTAGAGGCTAATAGCAAAGTAGTCACATGGATCAACTTTTTTTTTTACACTTGCTAGTACAATGTGTGTATTAAATTTGAGAACTTTTTATGTTCATATATATATATATATTGACATTATAAATCCAGTTATATGTGTTAAAATTTTATGAACATATCTGTTTTTTCCTTGTTTTATGTATTATTATAACTATAGTAGGATAATGTTAACATGTCTTTTAATAATGACTTCCTCAAATAGTAAAAGACTTTATGCAATTCCATGAGGCATTGTCAAAAAATACTTATTCTTTCGGAGCAGAAAACTTAACTTCTTCACCTTACCTAATTTACATATAAAGATTATAGAAACTGTGGATAAAAGTTTATAGAACACAGGTGTAAAAAATTTTAGAGAAAGAAGTGATCATCTTGTTTAAGCCAGATGTGGTAGCTCACACTTGTAATCCCAACATCTTGGGAAGCTGAAACAGGAGGAGCGAAAGTTCAAAGCCAGCCTCAGCAACTTAGCAAGGCCCTAAGCAACTCAGTGAGACCCTGTCTCTAGATAAAATACAAAAAAAAAAAAAAGAGGGGTCTGGATGTGGCTCAGTTTTCCTCTTGTGTTCAATCCCTGATACAAAAAAAAAAGAAAAAGAAAAAGAAAAGAAAAGAAAGGCCTGGCTGGAGAAGTCTCTGACAGGTAAACTTTGGACAATCTGAGAGTCTTTGGTATTTAAAATGATTTCTTAACTCCCCATAAGTAACTGTTCTAAAGTGTGTGGCATATTACTTGTTAAATATATAGATCTTCATTACTGTCTTTTACTAAACTAACATTTCTGCTATAATTGTAGTTCTCTTGAATTTCAATGATGCTTAACATGCCTCTTGTTAGCTATTATTTTCAGACTCTCTCTTTGCTTCTCCCTCTTACCCACAAGATGTTTCCTGGAAAACATAGGTTTTCATAATTCTCATTTGGCAGTTAACAAGTAGATGATGAAGCTTTGTATTTTATGTTTGATTTCTATCCATGTGGAAGCTGTTAGTCTCTTTTCTTACAGTACTTATATATCAAAATATAGTTGTATGCATCGTATTGTACATGAAGTTTTCTTTGATAATTAAACACTTTTTAAAATCAGTATAAAAGTTTGTATTGTGTGTGTGTGTGTGTGTATAATCTTTTTCCTCATATCAAATGATATTCCTGAACTTAACTCACACAACTTGGGACAAAAAGAACCAGTCTAATAAATAGTGTCTTTTTGATATAGCAAAACTTTTTTGGTACACTAGAGTATGGTATATTTGGGGTTTGAATTAACTCATAGACAAGGTAAAACTTAAAGATAAAAAAATTAATTGCTCAAACTTCAGGAGACTGGGAAATCTAAGAGCCAGGTCTCAGCTGCATTGGTCTCTGATGAGGGCAGATGTCTGATCACGTTCCCCTGTGTGCTCACATGGCCTCTTCTTTGTGTAGATAGTGCAGAGCTCTCTGGTGTCACTTGTAATGTACAGCATCAGAGCCTACACCCATAACCTCATTCAGCCCAACTCACTTACTCGGAGGGGGGCCCCATTACTAAATACAACAAAACTAGGGTTAGGGTTTCTGCACATGGATTTTACTAATCTTACTTCAATGAGGATGCTATGTTAAAAACACCAGTTCACTCTGGTATCTTAAAAAGTTAGAAAAGTGTATTTTCAGTCTGGAGAAACTCTTTTAATTTTCCTATGACTATATTCATGTTCTCCAAGTTCAATTCATACGGATATTAAACATTGGCTCTGCCAGGCACTGCCATGTCCAGCTATGGGACAGAGGGAGACAGGAAACGTGGGATGTGATACCTGTGCTGAATGAACTACAATACATTAAGGAGGATGAGTCAGCCAACACCACGTTACATTTGACTTTTGCAATCATCAAAGATGTTGAAAGGACAGAAATAGCGTAGGAAAGAAATGGGAGATGAGTCCACGTGGAAGATCCCTTGGAAAACAAGAGCTTTTCCCTGCTTTTTAGAATATGAATTAATCAAGCCAACAAGGAAGGTTAGACATTCTAGTCAGAGGAGGAAGAACATGTGAACAGTCTCAGAGGTGTTAAGACAATGCTGAGAAGGGAGAAGGGTGTAACTATACTCCCATGAGTGTGTTTGATAGCTTTTGTGGAGAGTTCAGTCCTGAACAAAGGGACCAGACTTTGTCATTACAGGGAGAAGAGAAGCATTGAAGTTCAGTGAGCTGATAGGGTGATATTGATTCTTTCAGCATTTGGTTTATGTATAATGCAATGCCGGGTCCACAGCTGATACTGAGCAAATATTTATTGAATGAATGAATGATCTCGTCATGCTACATAATAGACAAAAAGGGAAGGAGGCTGGAGGTATATCACTGGAGCATTTGGGAGGCTTGAGGAGAGTAATTAACTACCTAATATATAGTGACAGTGAAAAAAAAGGAAGGGAAAGCAGACGTGGTAAATATCAATAAATAGTGGGTAGGATGGGGGAACGAAAGGAAATCCAAAATGGTGCCTGGATTTTGAACTTCAGTTAAATGACAGGATATCGGGGATAGGTCTACAAACAGTCAATAAGAGGAAATGGATTCAGGTTTGGGTTATGTTGCACATGAAGTCAGTATAGGAGGGACACAACTCACACTGAGAATTCCAATCTAGAAATATGGATTGGGATGTAGATATGTACTGGGAGCCATTTATACAGCATCCTTTGGACTTTTGAACTTGGGAAATTGTCAAAGAGAAGACAGGGACACATGAGTAGAAAGGTTTATCTTAAAGAAGGACTAAAAGAACCCTGGTACAGAGAGGTTGGTCTTAAAATTTAGCAGGAAAAAAATATCTGTAAAAGTAAACTCCTCTCTGTGGGTATAGGGCTGTCCATATTCCTCTGGCAGTTGACAGTGTACAAGACTGCATGCAGCACAGTGCCCTGTCCTGGTCTTCTGAAGCATTCCCAAGCTGCCGTGGGTAATGAGGAAGATTGAATGGATTCAAAGAGAGAGAGGGAGGGAGGGAGGGAGGATTTTCTATGCATGCAGAGATACAGCCCTGAAGAGGAGGTGCAGGGTAAGGAAAATTAACATTCACCGGATACTAGTTTTCTACATGCACAGGGGGTTATGTTTGCATATGGTGTTTAGTCAAAGTTCACAGGCGATGATGTGAGACTAGTTTGGTGTTGTCAGAGTGATTGGTGGAATCAGGGCGGTGGAGACTAGAATAGGCTTGAAATCAAATTTGTGAAATGTAGCTTAAAAAATGAGTTACTTTCTCTTAGGAAACTATTGTCATCTATTTATAAAGCAACGATTAAAAAATGTTACTTTTTGGAGCTCTTCTACAATCCATAAGTACTTTCTTTTTTCTACTTTTAGGTTTGGAGATGTCTCTTTGCAAGAAAGTATTAACCATGAAAATTTTGAACTTCTGAAAGAATATTACACAACATTTATGGAAAAGATGCCTCCTGATTGTAAGTACATGAGTTGTAGAAACAATAACAATAATTTATTGATTATAAATCTTCAGGAGAGGTCAGGCATCGAGGTCAGTGACTAAAGAAGCATAGGCTGGGAGTTGAGCGTGATTTTGAGATTATGAGAACCAAAAAGATTGATTGCCAAGGTGGCCGGGCTGACGCCTGCCTCATTACCTTGATTGCACTTTAGAATATGTCCCACAGCTCATGCAGGGACATTAACTTCAGTGCCATTGGAAAATGACAAAAATTTAAAGTTTAGAACTTAACATTAGAAACCTCTATTGAGCCTAATAAAAATTTTTGCATAATTCTTCACCATATAAAACACTTAAGTAAATCCTTAAGTCTCCAATTTGCAAGATAACGTCAGACATGTCACACACTGTATAAAGAGAAAATCAGAAAGAACACAAGTTACACAATGTAATGCCCAGTAACATAAAAGAAGGAGCCAATTTACTGAATATACTTATTGCAACATTTTACAGGAAGAACTTAAGGCATTCAAGCTTATAGAAATGTGTTTTACATTTTTTTTTTGGAAAAGATTTGGCCATTGTTTAATTCTGAAGCTCTTTTTCCTATACCATTAAGTACATAACACTTAAGTAGTCCAACATCAGACAATTAAGAATGTCTTTGGAGTTCATTTGCAAATAAGTATAAATATGCTGAGATATTGAGATATTCACAATGATAATAAACTAGATTTTAATAAAGTAGGGAATATTTTAACATTTCAACCAAAAATTATAATTGAAATCTACCTGTCATCCAATCACAAGCCATTTGTTCACTGCCTTACAGTCTTATAATTACTTTGTGATAATATTAGGTGGCAGAATGTTAGGTCTTTTCATTAACCCAGTGAACGTTGAATCAGATTTCTTCAGTGGGCATATGCATGTCCATGTGCAAACAGAAAGTTTTACTTTTAGTTTTCATACTATAATTTTTATATTATTTTATTTTCCATCAAATTTTTTTGTCAAAATGAAATTAAGCAGGTAGAGGTTTTTTAGCAACCAGCACACTTTGAATTATAAATTTGTTAATTACCTGAAAAGTTACTATATTATGTATAAAACGCTTTTGCTTTGGTCATTAATTAAAAAAAGAGTTGACCCTAACTTGGATGTTGGTGAGTCTTCAGTCTGTTTATAAGTTATTTGTAATTTGGAAGTAAATCTCAGAATTTTTATCAACTTGATTTCTGTTTATCTTGTTCTTAAAATGTATGTGTAGTTCCTGGATTAGCAATAGCAGCCTGACCTGGGGACCTGTCAGCAATGCAGACTCTCAGGCCCCACTGCAGATGTACTAAACTTACCCTGAACCCATATTTTAATAATCTTTCCAAGTGGTTCCTGACCCACATTAACTCTCTTTTTTAGTTGTAGATGGGCACAATACCTTTATTCTACTCATTTTTAAGTGGTGCCGAGAATGGAACCCAGTTCCTCACATGTGCTAAGCAAGCGCTCTAGCACTGAGCCACAACTCCAGCCCCTTGATCCACATCAATTCTTGAGAGCCAGCAATGGTCATTGATATGTCATCCTCATTCAAAACCTATGTTAAAGTCCATGAACAACACTTGTACCACCTGTAAAAGAATCATGGAGAATATTGATGAAATATTCTCTGAGAGATGAAATACAAAATAATTCTATTTTCAATGTAAATTAAACTTCTCATAAAAATAAATATTAAAAATTTAAAAAGATAAAACCTTATATATTAGCAATTAAATAGTTGTCCATTTGTATCAATGAGGAATTGTTTGCAGGACCTCCTGCAGATACAAAAATCTATGGATGCTGAAGTACTCTATAAAAATGGTGTAGTATTTGCATAAACCCTGGGTACATACTCCTGGATGCTTTAAATCCTCACTAGATTATTTATAAAAGCCATACAATCTAAATGCTATGCAAATAGTTGTTACGCCATGTTGCTTATAGGAAATAATGACACAGAAAATCTGTACATGGTCAAATACAGTTTGAGTCAGTTAGCAGTGTTTTAGTTTTCTGAATATGTTTGGTGGCTGATTGAATAAACAGATGTCCAACCTGTGGATGTGGAGCACTGACTGTATAATCAAGTGTTTTTAGAAACTTGAAAATTTACTCTTTGAATACAGGATGGACTTTCGGGTCATACTAGTTCCATTTCATTATTTAGTCAGGAGTCTTAATATTACTGGATTTTCCTTTTTTGTTTCCTATATTTTTGAGACAAGGCTATCTTAGATTCATGGCAGAATGGAGTTGTAGCATGACTGTGGTACATCTGAACCAGGGTGTCAACCCCATTTGTATAGTTATGCTGACACCTGGGGGCTAGGCCTGAGTTAGAAACATTGCAGGCCAAAGCATGATTTGAGTTGTACTCCATTTGAGGACAAAACCACAAAGCTTGTGAGTAGAGAAAGATTAGAGGTTAGGCCATTTGCTAAAAGGGAAGGAACTACTATACTGGGCCATATCCACAATCCATAAAGTTTATTGTTTTCTCTCACAGTAAAATCAATGGATAGTTTCTGTCGATATTTAAGATTAATTCTCTTAATAAATCATTTTTCCTTATTAATCCATTATGAATGTGCTTTCCATTAATTTATCAACCTGTTTTCAAATGATTTATGCATGAAATAGTTGAATTCTATAAGACTTTGAGGAAAAACAATAATTTTTTCTCCAAAGACTTTTTTTTTTAACCTTAAGGGATGCCCCTTACTTTTCTTATATCAAGACATAAAGATACATCCCATCCCAATATATTCACTCCCAAAAGGCTTTCATCTTTTTGCGCTTCTCTTTTTTTATTTGTTCTTTTTAGTTACACGTGAAAGCAGAGTCCATTTTGATGAAATTATACATGCGTGGAAAATATTTATTGTAACTAGGGCCCCAGTCTTATGGATGTACATGATGGTGGGATTCACTGTGGTGTAGTCACCTGTGAATCTTTTATTCTTTTGTTTAGAAAAATTTTCAGGACTAAAATCATATTCTTCCCCAAATCTTCTCTATTCCCATTATAAGTAGTATATTTAATGGGCAGTCTCAATTCAGCAGTCTACAAACATGGGACAGGTTTATTTTGGTGACTGTTATCAGGTTTACTGAACACTTGAACCTTTGGAGTTAGTAATTGGGGGAGGGAAGTTGAAAGAAACTTGGTCATTATATACCTTCCAATATGTTCATCATTGTCTAGTAATTTGTGACTCACATATTTAAAAAGTTAAATGCAATTAGAGTAAGTATTTAATCAAATTCATATTATTATTATCCTCCACCCTCGGCTGTGGACAGACCATCAGGGGAAGGCTTGGTAAAGCAGGGCAGCTCCTGTGTCTTTGTCCTGGAGAAATCATGGGATCTCAAAGGATATCTCATGGAATGTCCCTGTTACAAAGAGGCAAGCCAGGTATAGGAATCCCAGGAGAGGGCATTTCCTTCCCTGAAAATGATGTGAAGCAAGTCATACATGTCTAAAATTGCCACCGGATAGAACTGCTGCTGCTGGCCCCTTTTCTGTGCTGTGAATTCTCCCTCACAATTTTTTTTTCTCTAGTGATGCTGCTTCCCAACAGCTGCCATCCCTGCACTGACTCTGAGGCACAGTGATCTCTGGGAGCTGCTTCCCCTCAGGCCCTACCTGTGGTATTCACTGGCCCCTTTGATCAACTGGGAAATTCCGTGGGGCCTGTATTTGTGCTTCTCCTATTTGCTCTGATCTTCCCATTGAGCTCAATGATCTGAGACATCTTTCAGACATCTTTCAAGCCCCTTTCTTGCCTCCCTAAAACATGAAGACATTTAATTTTGCATTATAAGTAAACTGAAAAGAAAAATAAAGCACTTCTGTAAATCACCAGCACAAAAGGCTCCGTGTTTCGAGACGGTTATCACATCTCACATATAATCCAGAGCTTTTGTAAAAGGAGCAGATTCAATGCTTCTTTCTCTCTGCTTTAAGGTTGGAAGGACCAACTGTCCATTGTTCACATCCAAGCACTTTCTCTAATAGTAATGCCCTATACCCAACACAGAGGGAGATTGGAATCATAATATCGGTTTATTAAAACTTGACCACTTAACTGACTCCTTTATTCAAACAAAAAGAATGGATTGTGTAGCACTTTTGACTGCAAAGGAAAACCAGGCCGGGCTTTGTTTTTAGCTATTCTAAATTATTTCTATATTAATTGAAAATTCTTTATATGTATAGGATCTCCTCCATTATAGCAATAAGAATTCCACATGAAATGCTTTTTTAGAAAAAAATGAAAAACTTAGTTTGCAATGCAAGTGGGTAGAATGTTGTCATGTATTTCATTGTATGTATGTGATTTTTGCTGGAAGTCTCACATTAAATGGAGCAGGTACTGTTGAAGATCATATTATGTATAAAACTCTGCCAATCACTATGGATGATGAAGATGAATAGGCCTGTCCCCTAGTAGCACACAATTTAACGACTCAGTGTCATCAAAGAATAATCTGCATTAACTCTGAACCTCATTTCAGAAAAAATAGTTGCTATTTTAGAGTGTTGATCCTTTTTCTGAATAATTTGATTTTATTGTTTTTTGCTTCCATTGTTCAAAGAGTTTTACTTTATCCTTGATTGTTTCTGACATTCATGGTCTGGTTACGCATTGTCATAGCTTTCATTTCTGCACTAGGAAAAATAAAACATCCTGTACATTCATTCCATTTACAAAAATAGGAAAAGAGAATGCAAATTTAATAGTTTATGGATAATTAATTTTAGATGAATTATTTAAACAGTTTTTTCCACAGTCTGCATAGAAAATGATAACAGACATTGTGAAAGGTAATATCTGTAACTACAAGAAAAGTAGGGCTATAGAGCCCGCAAAGAATGAAGGAATTATTTGACATTGATGCAAAAAAGAAACTAAAATGAGAGGCATATAATCCAGGGAAAGGTGAGCAAGAATATTAGATGTGTTG